TCATGTTTGGTGTCGTAGTACTAAATAAGAATTCTATAGTGAGGATTTTATCTAAGACTCTTAGATGATGTACTATTTCGTAATCGTTGGATCAAATTCCTTACAAAATGACTCGAGTACTAAATCTAAAGTTCATTCTAGATCTCCAATGAACAGAGCATTACTTTTTCGGGTTTGAAAATCTTTATTATTTAGAAGTCCAAAGGCGAGCTCAACAACTAGTTCAAAAGACAAAGTATGGATAAGTTCTAGACATTATTGCTAAAGATAATTCCTTTAAAATCATGTCTCATAATATTCTCTCTTTTGATTTTCTCTGCCATAATCCTCCGTATCGATCACTAATAGCAGGTCTAAAGAATGATGTGTTGACAATAGTTGGGGGTTAGGGTATATTTTTTTTCTTTTTTAATTAAGAGTAAATTGGGCTTTTGTTTGAAAAATGATATGTCAACTTTTAAGTCATTTAAATTAAATTTTAATAAGATGACATATGGAGGACAAATATCAAACAGATCATGACAGATAAAATCAGAACATAGAATCCAAGTCCATTCCAATGTACAACTACCTCAACAACATATATAGAACATGATCTTCAGGTCCAATATTCCCAAGGCAAAGACCAGGCCCTAAATGCGAGCCCAAAAACTAGTACAAACACATAAACAAAACTAAAATATGATTAGACAAGATCATGAAGGACCACAAATATTATTTTTTAAATTTAAAATAAAATAAAAAACAATGAAAAACATTTTTATCAGCTGCTATTGATAATTCGATAAATTAGTGTCCAAATCAGACCTGCCATTAGTGATCGATATGGAGGATCAAATCAACCCTACCTTGCAGGTCATCAAAGAAACTTGATTAGTATCTTTCTTAAAGCAAAAGGCACTTCTAATGTTTTTGTGTGATGATGATTATCCTTCATCATCTCCCTCCCAAGTCCTAAAGTCTCAGAAGTCCAATGATGCAGCATTGAAAATGGAGCTGTGCACTAAATTGGGAATGCAATCCCTTGTACATTACACATAATAATAGCTTTTGAAGTTAGGCCACTTCATTAATTTTCCCCTCCTAGGAAAATTTAATAGGACTTTAAAGTTAGGCCGCATTATTCTTAGTATGTGTAATGATATATTGCCACTTAATTCAAGGGTTAAGAGGACCCATTCCTTGTGAAACCAAGTACATTAAACCTTGGCAAAGCCAACGGATCCATAGCTCAATGGTGAGAGCATTTGTGAGTAGAGAGAGAAACTCTCATGTAACGGAGATAACATTTTTTGTTATCTCTGACAAATAATATAATGACATGTATGATAATTTTTTTATATGTCATTGTATTATTGGTCGGGAATAGCAAAATAATGTTAACCCCGTTACATATAAATTTTTTTGGCAGATGAATGATCTCATACTCGAATCCCAATGACATCAGCTTCCAAACTTTGAAAAAAAAAATTCTTACCAAAAGCAAAAGATTGTAACTGAAGCTCCCATACATCATCAAACTAGCTATTTCTTCGATCAGATCAACAAACTAGCTGCTTCTTTGACTTCTCTTCCAGGGGCAATTTGGGCAACTAGTTAGAAACTAGTTAACATGTGGTGTGGGGATTATCTTATGTTTTTTTTAATTTAATTAAATAATAATAAAGAATCTGCCAAAAAAGAAAGAACAATAGAATAATAGATAAATGAGGAATATAAATCAAGGCGATAAACTTATGAATTTTATGGGGAAAGCAACGTCCACTCCTCTGCTCTTTCAATCAAAGTTGGTCTGTTTCTCTCTGCTCTACCTCTTCACCTCTCTGTTTCTAGCTATCTACACCTCTCTCTCCCAAACCAAATGCCTCTTCAGATCCTCCCCTTTCGACCCAATTCAGGCCCCTCTCTTCTCCTACCCTGCAACCTATGGAGAGCACAAGTATGCAATCCCAACCCACCGTACCACTTGCTCGTCCCCTGTCTTTTTCTCAGGTACCCGCCATTTTTTGAGCTCATTTTTCTTCAATTTTGGCATTTGATTGTTTTGTTTGGAGATTTTTGCAAATGGGTTTTTGTTTTTGTGCTCAGATTATTGGATGGTCTTGAAGGAGATCCAAAATTTGTGTAAGAATTCTTCATGGTCTTCATCGGGTTTGAGGTATATGCAGGGCAAGGCTGAGACTTTTGCAGGAAATTTCAGTACCCAAGATAGAATTCCCTATTTTGTTCATTATAATGATAGCATTGAATTCCCTTGTGGGTTTTTGAAGAAATTTCCAATTAGTAATTCTGGTTAGTTTGGTACCCAAGCAAGTTCGATAAAGTCTCAATTTTTATCTCCTTGCTTTTTAAATTCAGCTACATTTATGACTAAGCCTGTTATTTTGTATGTAATTCAGATCGAACAGATATGGAAAACTGCGAAGGAGTTGTAGTGGTCTCTGCGATCTTCAATGACCATGATAAAATTCGACAGCCCCGAGGCCTCGGATCGAAAACCCTAGACAATGTATGTTTCTTTCTGTTTATAGATGATGTAACCCTCAAAGGACTTGTCTACCATAGATTAATTCCAAGCAAATCCAAAAACTATAAGATAGGAGCATGGAGGGTTGTCAAGGTTTCGAGCAAGGGATTGTATGAGAATCCAGCTATGAATGGTGTCATACCAAAATATTTAGTCCATAGGCTCTTCCCAAACTCAAAATTCAGCATTTGGATAGACGCAAAGTTGCAGCTGATGGTTGATCCATTGCTGCTGATTCATTCACTTGTTGTGTCTGAGAATGCAGACATGGCAATTTCAAAACATCCCTACTATATTCATACCATGGAAGAAGCAATGGCAACTGCAAGGTGGCAGAAATGGTGGGATGTTGATGGCTTGAAGAAGCAGATGGAGACTTATTGTGAGAATGGTTTGCTTCCCTGGAGTCCCAGCAAGCTCCCCTATCCCTCAGGTATACCAGTTGCAGATAAGTTATTAGATTTCAGATGTCACTTTCAACGTTTATGGTGTTGTTTTCTTTTGAAAGCATCCATCAGACGGTCATTTAATGATACAGCTATACTGCAACTGTACGCATACTTTAGGAACTATAACCTGTGATATCTGTACAAGAGGTAGGTGCCAATTTTACAGGATAGCCATCAAATTACTGGTTTTGGTGTTTGAGAATAAGCTATAATCTGGGAATATTTTATTTCTTGTGAGAGGAAATGTTGAAATTTCTTCTCTTTTGCTCCTTGTTACACCCAATCCATCTTGTACAAACGAAGATATTTGAAGAGGTAGGTGCACTTGGTGAAAGCTAATCTGTACAACGTGGTCCAGAAATAAAATAAAAAAATAGTGTGATCCAATGTGGTCCAAGCAAGCAACTTGCAAATCATGGCACGGTAACACAGTTCACAATGCATTGGGATGGGAGTTTCAAGGGCAGATTATATTACATTATGTCTTTGCCTACAGCAACTTGATAAATAAATTCATTGGGTCTTTGCGTATTTTCTTCTCTTGGGTTTACTTGAATTTTGCATGCACTGCATGCCGATCGACTAGATTATCTCTTTCCTTTTCTGGGTACAGGAGCTAATGACTTTGGTATTGGTATTTGGCAGATGTACCAGACAGTGCTCTAATTCTGAGAAGACATGGATTGAGGAGCAATCTATTCTCCTGCCTGCTGTTCAATGAGTTGGAGGCTTTTAACCCAAGAGACCAGTTGGCTTTTGCATACGTGAGAGATCTCATGAGCCCAAGGCTGAAGCTGAACATGTTTGAAGTGGAAGTCTTTGAGCAGATTGTTGTTGAATACAGGCACAACATAAAGCGCGGAGGTGGGGCCAGTGGCAGACAAGAGGCGGGGCCCAAAGGACCCAAAACCAAAAAGACCAAAAGGGCAGGCCCTGATTTGTTGTATGTTAATGGCAGCTGTTGCAGCAAGTGCCAGAAGTATCTTTTGGAGATGTGGGGTGAATCCGAGAGTTAATTTTTTTTGTCTCTAGTTTGCAAGCCTGCACGTTCCACAGAGGAGAAGGGGGAAAAGAGACAGAGAAAGAAGATAGAAAACAAACAAAGCCTAATCAATGATTAAAGCCAACAAACAATAACAGGTGGGCAGCGCTTTGTTATTCTTTTGGTTGATGTTGACGGATTCTTAATTTAAGAGAAAGCATGCAATGGGGCGTCAAGAAAAATCTATGAAGTGCTAAAATTACAGGCATCCGTTGAGAAACTAGCTATTTATCTGCCTTTTTTTTACTGTGCATATCAACCCCAACTCTCAGCTTCCAATAAGTAGAGTTCAAGTTTGTTTGTTTGTTTTTTTTAAAGTATAAGCGATAGTCAAAACTACAGAGAGAGAAATTTTTCACACACACATCTATAATGCTATCAGAATTCGAACATGAGACTTGTGGTCTAAAAACCAAGTCTGGTTTTAAATTTGGAGGAGAAAATGGAGTTTTGATAGTTTTACCCTTTTGTTTATTTGTTGCCCTCTTTTTTTTTTTCTTCTTTTTTTTTTATGCTGAACTAATAATTGGATTGGAGGTTTGAGGCCATTACTCCCTTGTTTCAATTGATTGATTTAGTGACATTTTTGGAAGAAAATCAAATGTGCTCTTACTCTTATCTAAATTATACAACTAAAAAAGTGAGTGTCGTTATTGTTACATTTCACGTGGAAGATAATAAATTTCATCCAGATTAATCTCATCCCAAATTGTCCAAATTAAACAACTGGTGTTTCTAAATTATGCAAATCATTTATAGTGTGAGTATTGATTTGATTGAGTCAACATCCGAACAATTCACAGTATTTGATTGAGACTATTAGAAAATATTAAAAAATAGATAGACCGTTAAAGAAAGAAAGTTGACTTCTATCAGAGAAAAAAAAATAAAAAAAAGAAATTTGACACTTCAAAAGGAAAAGAAAATTTATATTTCCCATGCATGCAAAAACCTCCTATTAACCAGAAACAGCAATAGTAATCGATCGATCTCCACCACTTCCATTTCCATTCCTAACTTTTCTATACAAACCCCCCCCTCTCTCTCTCTCTCTCTCTCTCTGATTACACCCAAATGTCAGGCCAACAAATCGATAGCCACAAAGAAGACGCCGAGATCTATCACGGCGAAGCCCTATGCAAGCAGAAGTCCCACGAGCTGCTCGACAAAATGAGCCTGCCGCGTGCCCTCCTGCCCTTAGACGATGTCCTAGAGTTCGGTTACAACCACACCTCCGGATTCGTATGGCTCAAGCAGAAGAAGAAGAAAGAGCACCGGTTCCACGCCATTGGCAAAATGGTGTCGTACGACACGGAGGTGACGGGCTTCGTCGAAGAGCATCGGATGAGGAGGCTCTCTGGGGTCAAAAGTAAGGAGCTTTTGATTTGGGTCTCGATTTCGGATATCTACGTGGACCCGAATTCGAATCCGGATAAGATCACGTTCGCCAACGGCACCGGGATCTCAAGGTCGTTCCCTGTCACGGCCTTTGGGCTTGAAGAAGAAGAGAAGAATGTTGATGGGAAAAAATGAAAGGCTTTTCTCCTTTTGGTCGAAGAAAAAAAAATTAAAATATTGAATAACTTTAGTTTTTTGTTTTGAATTCATTTAATATGTGATTACTTTGTTACACTTTCATTTCATTTTCTTTATTATTTGTTTTGTATTGTATTGGTTGTTTTGGTGTTGAGCTAGGATGCCCTATGATGCAGAAGAAAAACAGAGAGGTGAGGCGGTCAATTGTTCTCTTTTTTGGATACAAAGGATATTGAAAAGAAGAATCAAACATAAGATTTCCGTGTATGATTAAATGCTTTCAACCACTCAATAACCGCTTGAGCTACAACCACTTTACATAAGTAGATTTTCTTTATATATCTTGATGAACAACTTTTTAAAATATAAAAGTTCTGTGAAAATTATGCTTGTGATAGTCAACAGTTGTTAATTGTTAAGGGTAAATTACTCAAATGGTCCTCAAACTTGTACTCGATTTATATTTTGGTCCCTCAATTAAATTATTAGTCCAAATAGTACATAAACTATATTTAAATCGACCATTTGATCCAACCGTTAGGTTCAGTCAATATTTCCGTTAAATATGAGGGCAAATTGGTCATTTCATCCACCAACACTCTCTCTCTTCTTCTTCTGGGTTTCTTCTTCTTTTGCTTCTAGGTTTCTTCTTCTTCTTCCTGGTTTCTTCTTCTTTTGCTTCTTTTTTTCCCACAATCCAGGTCCTTAGTTGACAAAGCACACTAAAAGGTGCATGAAATTCACAGAAAAATCCGCCAAACGAAATTAATAGTTCAGAAAGACAGGGAGGAAGGACATTCAGCTGTAACAAAAAGACAATCTAACAGTATTTACTGGGCATGACGAGCCCTGCCTTTTGTTGACCGGACGAAAGAGTTGTGGATTGAGTCGGATTGACATAGATCGAACAAAATCAAATGGATTTGGATCAGAGTTGATAGCGGAGGACACGTGCAACATGGAGAACCCAACGAAGCAGCGGTTTCGAGATGAGTATGAGGAGATTAAATCCTATCCCTTCAAAGTTTTCTTGTTCCACAAGCTCTATTAGAACCCATATGAATGGCACGGTGCACTCAAAGGCCCTACTGGAACCGACCTCGAGGGTGGGATTTATCATGTGCGGCTCCTGTTTCCGCAAGAATATCCATGGGGGAACCTTCATTCATCTTTTTGAGGGAAAATGGTTCCTTCAATATCAAAACCAAGGTAACATTAAATTGGGACCCATCAAGGAGGATGAGACATACTTTTCTTAATCTTATTAATTTAATGCACGAATGCCCAGATTTTGAATCGGATTCAGAGACTGAGTTTGATGAGCCAGGGTTGGAAGCACCTAGGTTCGAAGGGTTGAACAGGTTGAGTTCAAGCCTCAAGGACGACGCCCTAACCCATGAGCAGAGTCGTCATTGCAAAGCTTCAGATCAAGTCGGAGCTGAGAACTTGGTGATGGCGACGACGATGAGCTGATGACTGGTGGTGGCGGTGGTTGTTGTGGAGGTTGTTGAGTATCATCGTCATTAGAATCATCGATGATTCATTTTTTGGTTAAGCTTTTCTGGGCCATCTTTTTCTTCTTCTTCTTCCGATTCTTCATTTTTTTTTCTTTCTAATTTTGTATTTATTTTCATCTTATTTTATTTGTTAATTATGAAAAGTCATATTTACCCTAAAATTTGGTTAAATCTAACGGAAAATTAGACGGTTGGATCAAATGGTTGATTTAAATATAGTTTATGTACCATTTGGACTAATAATTTAATTGAAGGACCAAAATGTAAATCGGGTACAAGTTTGAGGACCATTTGAGTAATTTACCCTAATTGTTAATCTTTACAAGGATTGGGGCACCTCTGAACCTCAGGCTTTGTGTGGCTGAAGCAGAAGAAGGAGCGCAAGGTTAAAGATCACCGGCAGGACCATCGTCTAAGATGCTGAGCTCACAATGCTTGTTGAGAACGGTACGATTAAGACGCTCACTGGTTGTGCCAATAAGGAAATGTTCCACAGGATCGGCGTTTGCTAAATCTACTTCAAAGATCTCTCTTCAAACAAGCTTACCCTTAAAACACCCACCGGCCAGGTGGAACATTCCCAGCTTCAGCATTTGAGGACGAAGATGATAAGGATGGCGGTGATCAGAAAGACAAGCACTGAAGTCTTTGCTTTTACCACTCAGGGCTTTAGAAAAGTCTAAGCATTTAGCATAAATATAATGGGGGTCAGCATGAAAGAATAAATCGCATACCGTTGGTTCGTATGGAAAAACATCATCAATTTACCACCATGCATGACAGATCTAAGCAGTCTGCTATACTTAGATGTTCATGGAACAAAACATCAACTATACTCCACAATACCCCATTTGTGTTCCATATTTGACCATTGTTCTTCCCCAAGAATGCCAACCATCAACAGCAAAAGCTTGCTCCAACTTTCTTCATTTTCTGCTGAGGCCAGTTCATAAATATTCCTTTCTTGATCCATTTGATTTTATTATATATACTAGTTCTACAATGAATCCGGGGTCCATAGAATCGTCCAAAGGAGCTTCACTTGAGTCTTTTATTTATACCACTTCAAACCGGACAACTGGATTTAATTCCAGGAGACATTTCTTGCTCCACTTAAGGGCAGATCATTGGACAAAACATTATCCACATCATTGTCCCAAATCACCATGCCCAAATTAAGTCCTTTTCTTGCTATTCTCACTGTCATATTCCAAATTTCAGTCACTCTAAATACATGGGCATGCGTATTCCCTCCCCCTCGATTAAGCAGTCCAGCAACAACTAAAACCAACGCATCAGAAAGTACCATAATGGTTAGTTGACAAACCTTTCATGAAAATTGACAATGCCCATAAGAATTTCAAGCAGGTGTCCTACCCCGGTCAGCAATCGATGAAGTTCCATTTTCCATTGCATGATAGAATTCATCATGTGCCAGGCACTTCCAATCAATCTTTCTTTGTTTCTTTTTCTTCCCTATGCTTATAATTCCAAACCCCAAGGGTTTTGAAATCCCACAGAATTTCAGATATCTCATCTTGAGGCAAACTCAAACCATCTCGCTTAATTGATCTATGCAAGTCACAGAAATATTTTGGGTCTTCAAGTCTGATGTAGTCACGTAAGAGCTGCTCATGATCCGGGATCCAATTTCTAGGAAATGGGGAGTAATCACAAGATGGAATCATAGACATGTGTGAGAACCGAATGCCTTCGATTGCATCAACAAGACCCACCCTCAATAGATCAGAATATTCAGGTGCAGAGTTGTTACTGCTCTCCCTCAGTGGACGACTGAGATTGCGTGAAGCTATTCCATAAACCTTGGCTCGCGATTTCAGTCTATACCTTGCAGCATACAGTTTAGCCAAAGAGCTACGAATCACATAGGCACAAAAACCAACAACTTTCTTGCGATTATCAGCATATTTGTACCAATCAGCCATGGTCTCCAACAACTTATTCATCTGGGAATTGGTATGAGCTTGACCAGAGTAAAGCATAGGAGTGCAGGGCAGTGGCTCAGGATCTTTATCACCCTTAACAAATGCAAGCCGCCTGAATTGGCGAATACATTGTTGTAAGCTAGCAGTAACAGAAAGCAGAGTCCCTACACCTTTTTGGCTAACCACATTACCTCCGGTCGCCGTGTACCTAAGGGTAGGGTGTATAACCCTGCGGCAAATTATATGGTCTAAGAACTGAATTCCCCTAGTTATGTGTTCAATATCCACCTTGGAGTTATCCAACCTTATCCCAAATCTTCTCTCACAAAACTCAATTATTTGCTTACGAATGTCGACTGCATCCTCTCTAGGCCCTCGGATCCCAATCAAGAAATGACCCCCATATCTAATATAATCCATTTTTCTAGTTTTCTCATTGCCACTAGAAGGAACAAACTCCGGCCAAGCCGGGTTATGACAGCCATCGTTTATCGAATTCTTCCAAATTGAATCAAGACAAGATGGCCTAAAAAACTCAACCATCTTATCTTCCATAAATTTATCCAATTCATTAAGACAAACATTAGCAAGTAAAGGACTTAAAATTCCACAATGACCATAAGAAGGTACCTTAGCAGCCTCTTCAGGTGCAAAATTGAAGAACGTTCTCAACCAATACGGGTCTGGCTTCGGCTCCTTATCGTTCAAAATCTTCTTCTTCTTAGGCGCTTTCTTCTTCTTTTTGTTCTTTGGCCATTCTTCATAACCATCACTCTGTTTTCGATTCGGCGCTCTAACCGCGCATTGGATCAAACCCAGTATTTTCTTGTCCCTCACGGCCTGCTCTAAGCAACCCATCACCATATTCCTATCCACATTGTCAAAAATTTCACTGATATCGCCTCTCAGAAACCACAAGTAACCAGCGAAGTTGCTCCGAATAGTCCGAATAACCGTGTGGGCGTTCCTGCCGGGTCGAAAAGCGTGGGACTTGGGCGAGAACCGGGCCTCGAAAACAGGCTCCAGTATCATCAACAAGACCTCCTGAACGACCCGGTCCTGAAAGCAGGGCTCGTCGGACTCGAGCATAGCCTGGAGCTTACGCTTGGAGAGGAGCTCGATACTGGTCTTGTCGTTGGGGCTCCGAATGAATTGCTGGGTCTTCTTGTTCCAGTAGAAATTCCCGCGACCGACGGCATTTCGGAGGGAGAGGAGGTCATGGAGGACGTGGGGGTGGATGGCGTTGCGGGGAGGGAACGTGCCGGTCACGTGAGCGCAGGAGCGTTGATAGGCCAGGACCCAGAGGTCGAATTTGGAGAGGAAGCCGGTGAGGTTGGAGAAGGCGAAGGTGGGTGGGGAAGAGAAGGCCTTGACCCACAGAGCTGAGCAAATTTCAATTGGGTCTTGTTTGAGGAGCGAGTATGGGTCTTGCTGGTCTTGCTTTGAAGGCGGTCGCTTTGGCGACGGTGGTGTGGAGAGGGACCATGAGAGACTGCGAGTGAGGGTTTTGCGGTAAGGGAAGTGGTGGCACTGAAGGTGTTTGATGGTTGTTCTCACTGACATTTTTGTTGGGTTGAAGACGAATGTTGAGGGACAGAGAGTCCGCAACCCTCTTCTCCCCTTCAATTTTGGCTGGTTTTGGACCGTGGGTAGTTTTGCTATTGAGGCTTTGTCTTCGCGCTTTTGAGATTGGAGGGAGTTGGTCTTGGATTTGGGCTGGGCCTTGAACCTGACCTGTTAGGTTGGGTCAATTCTTTTTCTTCATCTGAGTGTACTTAATTGAATCCAGTAGGACCGTAAA